TTGTGGTGACCCCCAACCATAAAATTATTTTCGCTGCTACTTCACAACTGTAATTTTGCTACTGTAAACAATATGTAATTATATATGTGTTTTCCGATGGTTTTAGGCGACCCCTGTGAAAGGATCGTTTGACCCCCAAAGGGGTCGCGACCCACAGGTTGAGAACCGCTGTTCGACTGTCTTCCTTATCCCAGTTCTCCCTGATCTTGTTTGGGATGGCAAGACACCAAGGCAGTTCTTCTCTCACTCAGTCCCTTTTGCAGCCTGGGCTGGCCATGTTCAATTCTGGCCGATGAAACGCGAACAGATGTGCGCTGGAGACGTTTGGGACAGCTGTCCTGGCCCTTTTCCCTTCTTCCTGCCTTGACAGTGCAGCTCAGGGCCTGATTGGCAGCTCTTCGGGAGATGTTTTCACCCCAAGCTCATTTTTTCCTTTCTCTGTACAGGGACTTTGGAGCCCTGGGCTCTTGTGCTTTGCAGAGCGACACACCTCTCCCCAGCCAAGTCCTCCTCTGCTCTCTCAACTCTGCTTGATCAGTAACCATTCAGTCCCCCATCTGCTTTCCGTCTTCTAAAAAGTGATTGAAATCTCTGTTCCCTGATGACTTCCTCATGTTTTCTTTTGGGGGGTGTGTTTCTATTTCCTTGTCCCCCCCCCCGCTCTCATTTAAACAGGGTGTGGGGTGCACACAGGTACTGAGGCTGCCAACTTGAACCCAAATCACAGTCATGAGAATTCTCTCTCGCCAGAATGGAAAGCATTGCACTTTGTAGAGCTTTCAGGAATAATAGATTTTCATTTGCCTGTGTAGAAATAAATTGAGCCCAGCTGGCGTGGCTCAGCGGTTGGGCGTCAACCTATGATAAACCAGGAGGTCATGGTTTGATTCCCGGTTAGGGCACATGCCCGGGTTGTGGGCTCGATCCCCAGTGTGGGGTGTGCAGGAGGCAGCTGATTAATGAGTCTCTCTCATCATTGATGTTTCTCTCTCTCTCTCCCTCCCTCTCTGAAATCAATAAAAATATATGTAAAAAACAATAAAAACCACAAATTAATTGAAACTGAAGGGATGCATGAAAAATTTTTATTTTATTTTCATTATTTTTTTTGTTAATCCTCACCCAAAGATATTTTTTCCCCCATTGATTTTTAGAGAAAGTGGAAGGGAGGGAGGAGGGGGAGAGAGAGAGGAAAGAGAGAGAGAAACATCTATGTGAGAGAGACAAATCTATCGGTTGCCTACTGCACACACCCTGACCCAGCCACATCGTGCCTGCAACTCAGGTACATGCCCTTGACTGGGAATCGAACCCAGACCCTTTGGTCCATGGGCCAATGCTCTAACCACTGAGAAATACCAGCCAGGGCTGATACATGAAATTTTATATGCTGAACATCTTCTGTAGCAGTGTCTTTCTGGATTCGTTATTTTTCTTTTCTTTTCAATCCTCACCTGAGGATATTTTTCCATTGACTTATAGGGAGAGTGGAAGAGAAAGGGAAAGAAAGAGAGAAACATCGATGGGAGAGAAACGTATCGATTGGTTGCCTCCTGCATGTGCGCCGACCAGGGCCCGGACCGGGGAGAAGCCTGCAACCAAGGCATGTGCCCTTGACAGGAATCAAACCTGGGACCCTTTGGTCTGCAGGCTGATGCTCTTTCCACTGAGCCAAACCGGCTAGGGCTCTTTCAGGATTCTAAATGCATCTCAGCATTCTCCTGCAGACAGACTTGCACAGCATCTTGACAACAGCCCACATTTGTAAGTGAAGCACTGAGAGCTCAAGAAACGTGCCCACCATTACCCACATGTTAGTAAAAGAGTCAGGACGCGGACCCAGACAGTTTGGGTCTGTTTCTGTCAGGAAGCGTGCCTATGATCTGTAACCTATGCTGTGTTTTTTCTCTCACTGATGTCTTTTTTTTTAATATATTTTATTGATTTTTTATAGAGAGGGAGAGGGATAGTTAGAAACATCAATGAGAAAGAAACATCGATCAGCTGCCTCCTGCACACCCCCCACGGGGGATGTGCCCACAGCCAAGGTACATGCCCTTGACCGGACTCGAACCTGGGACCCTTCAGTCCGCAGGCCAACGCTCTATCCACTGAGCCAAACCAGTCAGGGCCCTCACTGATTTCTTTTACCGCAGTAACACATGCACATAGTAAATAATTTGAAAGGTTTAAGTGGCTGCACGATAAATACAATTTCCTTCTCGCCCCATTCTGTGGTCACCCAGTTCTCCTTCCCAGAAGCAGCTACGGTTGCCTGTCTCTCCTTCCAGAGGTCGCGTATGCATTTACAAGCAAGTATGAACGTGGCCATTGGTTCACTGTTTATGCTGATGATAGCATACCTTTCCTTGCTGTGGCTTTTTCTTCCTCTTAACAATTTATCTTCAAGGTTAACCTCAGCACCTCCTTGTCATTGCTACATGCTAGGATACCCCCATGAGATGCAGTGTGAACTAGACTATTGAGCCGTCTACTATAGAGAACCTTGAAGTTATGATTTCTAAATATACAACCGGATCTCAGACAATTCTGTTTTAATAGCGATGTCATATGATTTGGTGTCATGTGAGTCTGGTTGCTACACAGGCAGTTTCTCTTTCTTAGTACTTCCCTCATTTGAGGCCACCCCATAACTAGAACTATTTCAAATGTCACCATCTTATCAGAGTCTCCATTCACCTCTTAAAAGTATGTTAATTAAAGTGACAATAGTAGCCCTAGTGGTTTGGCTCAGTGGATAGAGCGTCGGCCTACGGACTGAAAGGTCCCAATTTTGATTCCGGCCCAGGGCACATGCCTGGGTTGCGGGCTCAATCCTCAGTGGGTGGCATGCTGGAGGCAGCCAATCAACGATTCTCTCTCATCATTGATGTTCCTCTCTCTCCCTCTCCCCTCCTCTCTGAGATCAATAAAAATATATATTTTAAAAAATACAGTAACTCTGTCCTCTTGAAAAATGTCAAGGTCATAAAAGGCTGAGGAACTTTTCCGAATGAAGGATGACTAAAGAGATGTGCAAACTCAATGCAGTGCTCAACCCTGAATTGAATCTTCATCTAGGAAAAGAAAATATATAGCTATAAAAGACAGTGGGAAAGTTGATGGTTGTTTCCACTTTTCAGCTATTATGAATAAAGCTGGTATGAACATTCATGTACAAGCCTTTTTGTGGGAATCTGTTCTCTTTTCTCTTGGAGTGGGATGGCTGGGACATAGGGTAAATGTTAACTTTACATAAGAATTTTCCAAACTGTTTTCCACAGTGGCTGCACCACTTACCATTCCCACCGGCAGTGTATGAGAGTTCCAACACTTGGTATCATCTGTCTCTTTCTTTTTAATATATTTTTTTATTGATTTCAGAGAGGGGAGAGAGAGAGAAACATCAGTGATGAGAGAGAATCATTGATCGGCTGCCTCCTGCACACCCCACACTGGGGATCGAGACCACAACCTGGGCATGTGCCCTTACTGGGAATCAAACCATGACCTCCTGGTTCACAGGCCAACGCTCAACCGCTGAGCCACACTGGCCAGGCAGATAGAATCCTATATGATAAAAGCCTAATTTGGACCGTTCGTTCAACCGTTTGACCAGTTGCTATGAATCACACTGACCACCAGGGGACAGACTCTCTGACCAGTCGGTTAGCTTGCTGCTGGGGTCCGGCCAGTCGGAACTGGGTGAGGTGGGCCAGACACGCCCTGGAGCCAACCTCCCACAGTCCCTCCCCGACCTCTAAAAGATTTATTCTAATTAATTTCCTTTCAATGTGCATCGGGCCTCTAGTTTCTTTATAGCCTCAGGGGTGGTTTGTGAGAAACTGATGGTAACCTGAATCACCTTTCCTGCTGTGTGACCCAGAGCATCAGGAAGGAAAGAGGGAAGAGCAATGGGGTCTGATGCTCACCAGAGCTCCTGTCGCTGGAGAGGCGCTCATTGTTGGGATGGGAAAGGCCACCGCCATCCGTGCTCACTTCTCCACGTCACTGAGGCTTTCCCACTGCACTTGTCCCCTCTGCCTCCTCCCATTATGAAGTAACCCCTGCTTGGGCCTTCACTGTGGAGTATGTGTGTGTATGCCCCATGTAGGTACACAGCCCCTTACCAGAAGCTCTTGGGACCCACTGTGCATTAGAAATCACAGTTTTCCTGACTGTGTTCTATTTTTTGTAATTCTCCCAGCAGGGCAGCACCCTGTAAATCAAACACATTAATATTTCTGCAGAGAACTGAGTCAACATGTCTATTAAGTTGGATAAATAAAGCTTTCAGACAGCTTCACATAAATTCAAATGAGATGGGATGCCAAACTCAGAACTCTTGGTGTTCAGAGCCTTGGGGTTTATTTTTTTAATATGTTTTTATTGATTTCAGAGAGGAAGGGAGAGGGAGAGAGAGAGAGAAACATCAATGATACGAGAATCATTGATTGGCTGCCTCCTGCACACCCCTTACTGGGAATTGAGCCCACAAACCCAGCATGTGCCCTGACCAGGAATCGAACCATGAACTCCTGGTTCACAGGTTGGTGCTCAACCACTGAGCTACACCGGCTGGGCTGTTGCTGCTTTTTCCTCGTTGGTAACCACTCCTGTCCTCACCTTCC